AAAGCACGAATTTCCCCAAGTAAAGGTTGGGGGAGGGCAGGAATAAACGGAAATCTGTCCTTCATCCTCCCCTTCACCTCTGCACAGCTCATGAGACCTCGAGAGACTGAGGCTTGGAGGTAAGATAACTCGTTCAAAGTCAGAATGAGTTCTGACTAACCTCTAGGCAAGATGATTTTAAAAGCCTGCAGAACCATTAATCAAACTCTCTGGTTTCTAAATTTCAGAGCCACAGCCATTTTCCTGAGGGTTTTTTGTTGTTGTTTTGTTTTTGTTTGTTTGTTTGTTTTCTGTATAAAGAGACGTGGGATGTTAGTTCAGGTAAAGAACACACACACACACACACACACACACACACACGAGTATCATGTATACAAAAGCAAAGTGTCTGATTAATAGTGTGTATTATAGAGAAGACAGATTGAAAGAAACCAGCAAATTTACTCTCCAGCATTCAACTTTCTTATAAATGTGCATCACCTTATAACTTCGTTTCTTGAATATGTGAACATTTTCACTAACTAAATAAAGAAACTGAATTAGTGAAATAAGAAATGGAGAAAAGGGGTTGTCTTTTGGTGAAAATATGACAGAAAAACAGAAAGACTCCCAGTGGGCAGTTTTTACGGAGATTTACCAAAAACAATAGACAGTACAATAGCTCCAGGTTTACTTAACAGCTTTTGGCCCCAAGGATTGTAACATACCATATTTGGCTACAAAATATTTATTGCTCTAGAACCAAGAATAATAAAAGTGTTCGCTGTTGTAAAATCCTCCAGTCTTTTAACTATTTAGCAGTTGGAAAATCTAATAGCTTAGGCATGGTGCAAATGCATTTATCCAATTAGAAAACACTAGAAATTCAGAGTTTAATGAATCTAGCCTGCCTACTTTGAGGGTAATTGCCTCAATACCCAGAGAAGATGGAATAGCCTAGATTAACCTCTTAGAGTTATATCTGCAACAACATGGATGAATAAACACATCATAGCAAGTGAAAGAAGCCAGACCTGAAAGGCTACAAACTATGTAATACGATTCAGATGACATTCTGTAAAATGAAACTGTAGGCACAGGAAACAGATTGGTGAATGCCAGGGACTAAGCACATAGAAAATTGATTGCCACGGACCTGAAGGGAACGTTTTGGAGTGACAAAAATATTCTTTATCTCAATTATGGTGGCAGTTACTTCCTTATATGTTTGTTTAAATTCATAGAACTGCACACTTAAAGGTATAGTACATAAATTATAACTCAAAATAGCCTTTTTAAAAACTATTTCTGGGGATACAATGAGCATGGAGAGAAAGCTAGATTTTATCATTTTGCTGAAGAGTCCTAAGTTTCCATAAATGCCAGAAGTAAAAATAAAAATTAATTGCCAGCAGTTACACGAAGAGAGCAGGCAGTCTCCCTAAACTGTCGTTCTTGTGCTGCCATGTCCACTTCCTGTTCAGTTAGTGACCTGAGCCGCTGCAGGCACACTGCTCTGCCCACTCAGAAAGGACCAAGGCTCCGGAAAAGGGAGAAGAGGCGACAGGGTGAAGCAGCCGGCCACTCCGTGGGCAGCAGAGAGACTGGGTAAATCAAGCGGTTTCTCCCTAAAGCTGCTCAGTCACTCCCCTGTTAATTATCTGTCTGCTGATTCATGACTTGTGGCTCCTGTGGGCAAGCTTCCTGGCCACTCCTGCCAACAAGGGCAGAAAGCTTCTTGGGGCTGGGAGGGGATGATAACCAGAGATCCTGAGAGGAGTGGGGAGTTGTGGAGGAAAAGTCCGGCTCCCCTCCCATCACACTGTGGTCTCCTGGTCCTGCCTTAAGGTCTCCCCAGGAGACCTGCCATTCACCACCTTTGCCTTCACACTCACAAGTCTGAGAGGAGTGAAGGAGAACGTTACCTTCCTGGTAGCTACTACCATGAGAGGAAAAAAAGGCAGTTACTCCCCTAAGTTTCCAGCACCCTAGATCAGAGGTCAAAATAGTACTATAGTAGAGAGAGGCTCAAACACCCTATGAAACTACGGTGTTGGCTGTACCTTAACACCTTCCAGGGCTGATTGTGTAACTTAGTGGTAAAGAACACAGGCACACACACACACACACACACACACACACACACACACTACCCTCCAGAAGGTCTAGGTGGAAATCTTTTCAGAATGAATGCAAATATTTAAATACTGATTTTCTTTTTTTTTTTTTTTTTTTTTCTTTCAGTACTGAGAGTTGAAACCAGGAGTGCTCTGGTACTAAACTGCATCCCCAGAGGCCTTTTGTTGTGTTTTCGGTTGGTTGCTTTGTTTTTTTGTTTTGTTTTATGCAGGATCTTGCTAAATTGCCCAGTCTGGCCTCAAACTTGTGACCCTCCTGACTCAGCCTCCCAAGCCCACCCTCTCACCTGAAATACTGCGTTTCCTAAAGTGAGGCACATCACCTTTACATGCTTTTTCATAGCAACCCCTAGATATTTATCTTGCTGCCTACCTTCCAGGTACTGGGCACAGAGTATTGCACAAAACAGAAGCGTTGCTCTTCCCAAGAAGGCTGAAGTCTTTGTGGACACCTTTCTTTCTTTCTTTCTTTCTTTTTTTTTTAATGGTGGTGGCATTGGGGATTGAACCCAGGGTCTTTGCACTGAGAAACATCCTGAACCTTTTTATTCTGAGACAGTCTGGCTAAGTTGCTCTGACTGAACTCAAACTTTTGATCCTACTGCCTCAGTCCCCCATAGTGCTGAAATTACAGGCAAGTGTTACAACACCCAGCTTGTCGGCATCTTTTACCTTCCTCTGGTCCTAGGGACAAGAGTCGAGGTTTTCCCATGGATAAAGCAAATGTATAGATCTCTTTTCTCCTTGGCCTTATCTTGAATTCTTGCTGGATGAGAGGGACTGACGTCCATCCAAACCACCAAAGAGGCATGGGTTAAAGTAAAAAGTGGCCAGAGAAGAGGGACCTCATCAGCCTCCTGCTAGATGCCGGAATTGTACTCATGCATGAAGCAGTAACCACAATATATTGTAGAGACCATAGATTGGAAGAATAATGACAACAGTAGTTGCCATTTATTAAAACATTATTTTGTACCTTTCATCTAATTAACATAATCAGAGACACTGTTTTTTATACTTTACAGATGAAGAAACTGAGAACAAATAGAGTAGGTAACTTACCTAAGGTCACACAACCAATTAGAGGCAAAGTGAAGAATCAAACCTACATCCTATTGGTTTAAGCCATAGCTGTCCCTTCCCCTAACTGTCAAGTCTTGTGTGCCTGAAGACCCTAGAGGGCTTCAGTTTGAGAGTTTTCAGAATACAAACTTAAGGGAAAGAAATAAGCACCTCCACTCAAAACTAGCTAGGTTAGAATAAGACTTTAAATATGAGAAAGTCACAAAACTCAATACCTCTTAGAAAAAGCTAAAAGATCATCTTTGTAGATAAAATGTGAAACTCGGTGCTGTCCTCAGAGAGCCTTTCTTCCCCCAGTATCAGAAGCTGCTACTCTGGGACAACCTGTCTGTGCCAACCTGTCTGTGCCACACCCAATCCCCTGTCTGCCCTCCTTGAGTCCCTTCAATACAACTGTCTTAGTGGCATCCTGCTGGGGGCTGCTTCTGCAGGGATCTGATACTGGCAACTCTGCCACCAATACTGGGGTAGAAGATGTAAATATAACAGAACCTGCTTTGACAAGGCACTTCTACGCTGACTGTGGAGGCCAGCTCTTAAACACTACTCTCTCCTGCCTCTCATCACCATTCCTAGAATTGCCCAATCACAAAGATGACTCTGCGAGAAGAAAACCCAAAGGGTCTTTAATGCAAAGGCAAATGTCAAAGCAGTGTGATCCTACATGGATCATTACGATTGTGTGAACTACACCAACATGAGAGATACCGGGGAGGGAGAGAGGTAAGGTGGAGGGGAAGAGGAACTAAATAACATGTTCTTCACCTTCACTGGCCTTGAGCCAAGCCCTGTGCTAGGCACTGTCTCACGTTACTGCAGCATTTGCTTGTAAAACTTGAAGAAAATGTAATTACACTCATACATGAATTTAGAAAGCTGGGTTTGTAAAAGAAGTTTTAATAAAATCACAAAAGGTTTTTAATGTGTTATATATCTCAAAACAACTAAAACACAAGTTGGAAGATTCCCAACACAAAGGGAACTTATCCTGATTTGATCATTACACATTGTACAAGTATATATGTGTGAGCTATCACGCTGCCCATTATGTGTGTACATGTAACACGTAAAATTTTAGAAGCAATAAACTATAAATGTATTGAGTTCATGAAAGCAGGTGTATCTGCAGCAGACAGAGGTGCCCCATGCATTGCTCCATTCCCAGCATTAAAAACCAACTAAAGACTTAATCTGGGGGTTGGGGTGTGAAAGGTCTAACTTGCTTTATGAGTACTGATGTACCTTGCACACTTATATGTACGGAGCCTGGAGTTCCCCAAGCCTGGCAAGATCACCAAATGCTCCGGAAGACCATGGGCAGTTCTCCTGGGCTGTGCGGGCTCAGCGCTCCATGACCTCCCCTCACCAAAGCGCGCAGCAGCAGGACAGACAAAGCCCGGGAAACCAGCCAGCCCAGGGGAACCTTGTCCCGGGTCCCTGTGGACAGACACCAAGTGAGCTCGGGTGCAAGGTCTGTCCCAGAAGCAGAAGCACCGCTGCCGCCTGGGGACACTGGAGGAGGCAGAGCCCTCATCTTGCTCCAAAAGCGCTCTCGCGGAAAACCGCTAAAATTTAAAAACTCGGGGGAAAATATAACCCACAAGGAAGGCGCACTGTGGAGTAAACTGGCAAAGCAGCGCGCACGCACTCACACTCGCCGGAGGAGCCGCAGCTGCATCCGCTGCAGCGCGCGGGGACAGCCCGATCCCAGCCCCGCTCTGCACCCCGGGGTGCCCACCACCCCAGCTCAGCGCCCCGGGGACGTGCGCCCCGCACCGCGCGGGCCGGAGCCTCACTCACCTCCGGCCGCCAGCGCCCCCAGCGCCAGCACGGCGGCCCAGAGCGGCCGGGCCAGCCGCAGCGCTCGCACCGCCCGCATCGCGTGTCCGCCGGCCGGCCGCGCTCCACCGCCCCGCGGCGCTCGCCTGGCCCGCGGCCGAGGGAGGGGCGCGGTGGGCGGGACTCTCGCTTCCTCCCGCGGGCCCTTTTCTGGACTGCGCGCCGGGGAGAGGGCGGTGGGAGCCCGGCGCTCGCCCCAGGCCTCGCCTCCTCCGCCCACGACGGTGATCGCTGGCCGGCGGGTCCTGCCAGGCCGCGCCCAGCGGGGGTCGCCAGCGCACCCCGGCCCCAGGTGGCCGTGGCCACTCGCTGGACCTCTCCGGAGACAGGGGACAATTTCGCTTGGATTCCTGGGGCACTGTCAGGTCATCGCAAGCTTCATTCATTCAGGCTGCCATTCACATAACTGACAAACATCCGTTCAATACTTCTGTGTACCAGTTTGGACCTTCTTATGCACTAATTTTTTTCCCTTGCGTTTGGTTTTCTCATTGACTATAAGCCTCCTGAAGACAAGTTCATGTCTCAGGCTGTGGGATTGTGAAGTCTCTCTATGAGTACATCCTTGCGAATAATAGATGTTGGATAAACATTTTAGAGTACAGTCATTAACTGCAGCAAAACTCAGATTCAGAGGCTTCGGAGCTTTGTCCTATTTTTCTCAAAGGCCACCTGCTCACTCTCTTTTCCCCCATTCTTCCTCTTGGTCCCTTGGTCTTTCCCAAACCAAAAACCTCTAGAAACTAAAAGGGGCAAAATACTCTGGGGGCAGGAGGCCACGAGAAAGTAGCTGGATCAGTACAGGCTATCAGAATGGGTAACTCTGAGGGTAAAGAACAAGGCCTGAGGCGGGAACTGTGTCTGACAAGTGGCCCTGACCCACCTTTCATCTTTAACCCAAGAAAATACTTCTCACTCCCAGGCACTCCATGCCTTGCTGTGTGACTGAACTTCCTTCTTTTTTCCACTTGGAAAATTCCACTTATCTTTCAAAACATCTCAGATGTCATTTCTTCCTTGTACTCTCATCTGATAAATCCTTCTCCAGGCCCCACCTCTGCAGAGCAGGGCACTTCCTCCTCAGACCACTCAAACACTAGAATATATCTTAATAGTGATATGCACCAGCAAGAGTACACTAGGAACCTGCAAGGGGCCAAGGAAGTGCTAGTCCCCATGAAGAAAGCCCCCCAGGCTTTCTGTCCTGGGCTTTGAGACTCCAGCTCTACCTACCTCTCACGGCAGCAGAGGCCCACTAAGCCAGAAGCCATTTAAACAGTGTTGCCATTATATCCATAAGCAAAAGCCACATCGCAGACCCTGATTACACCTTTGCCTAGGTATTTATTTATTTGCTTAATTCCATAGATAGCCAGTTTCCAGTCTCCTAGGTGTCTCTTTAGCCTTGCCCCGCTGACACCAACAACCTGCCCCAACAATGTGCTGAATCCCCAACCCTGGTCAAACTTGGCAAACATGCCATGGCTGTGCAAGGGAGTTCCTGCTAAGCACCCAGCCCAAGGAAAGGGAAGGAGCGAGTCCGTTTACATTTTGTATAATAACTGACTTTATATTCACACCTAACATCTTAGTTGTTTCTTTTTTTTTCTATTTTGCTTTCTTTGGAGATAATCCTTTTATTTTCGCCTTTACTGTTTTTCTAGCTGCATTTCTTGTTTATAGGATGTGTGTGGGTGGGCAAATATACATTTGCTCTAGGGATCACAATATGTATCCCTAATTTATACATACTTTACCCAGAATTAGTATTGTACCATTTCATCTAACGTGTAAGAACCTTAAAGCAATATAATTTCATTAATACAATTGCATTCTCTATGATATTATTATCATATATTTTACTTCTAACTACATAGTGATTTACAATGTAGTTTTTTTTAATTTATTTTTTTCTTTTTTCTTTTTTTTTAATTTTATTTAAGGAGAAAAAAACAGAAAAAGGGTACAAGTTATACAGAATTTCAGAAAAAATAAACAGTAGGAAATCACCAGTTAATAGAGTACATATTGTCATCTTAGAAATAGTTGTTCAAGTTACAAAATTAAAGCATATAAAGTGGACATTCAAACAGAGAGACTGCAAACAGTTCTGTTCAATGATCCAACAAAACTCAGTAATATGGTTATCTATCTTATACACTTAAACATACATGCAGTTATATCCTTTAGAGCACTTTCTTTTCCTTTCTTTTGTACAATGACAATTACACATTTTGGGTTTTATTACTCCCACAGTTCTGATTACTTTTTTTTGAAGAGAGTAAAACCAAATGTGACATAACAAAACAGAGTCAGTCAAATCAAAAGGATAGACATAATACATAATGTAAAAACAAATACAAGGTGATCAACAATGGTTACCACAATGCCTCTTGCTATCTTAAAAAGAATTGCCTATATCATCAGTTATAATAAAATTGTACAAAACAGTAAAGAACAAAACCAACAAAACCAAAACACTGGAGACATTACAGGACTTCAAAAGAAGATAACAGTCAACCAGAATGGGTGTCATAATGAATCTTATTGTCTTCACAGTTGTTGCCTATACTTTCAAACTTGGTACTATCAAGCAAAACAGAATAGAAGAAAATCAGTCAAAACAAGATGGTGAGAGCAATACAGGCTTTCAAATTAAGTTAATAGGAAATCAAAGTGGGTTACTATAATATATCCTGCTATTTTTTATTTATTTTTCCCTTAATTAGAAAGATAAAAATAAAAAAGTAAACAATAAAAAAAGGAGATTGAGATAAAAGAGGGCATAACAACAAAACAGCGCAGGTCAAAACATAACCATTTAAGCAAAATAGTGTTTCACCACAAGATATCCCAACATAAAAGTAGTTATAGTGTCTCTTTTCTTGAAATCTTTGAGTATAACTTCCTATACTGTAGCAACAAACATATCAAGATAATATAAAACCATTCAAGAGGAAGGACAGTAGTACAGGGTATTTAGAGTCAACTAACAGAAAATGAACAATGGTTTCTGTATAATCTCCTTGTCAATAAAAGTTTTTGTTTATATTATCACATATAATAAAATCCAATAAGATACAACATGTTAAGACCGATGGAGACAGAAGAACAAAAGCTTGATGGAACTTCAAAACAAGATGATATTAAATCAGCACTAGCTATTATGATGTCTTGTTTTCTCCAAAATAGTTGTTCCTACCATCCAACCTTCCCTGCCTCATTTCTGTTGAGCTCTTTTTCTGTCATTAGTTGTCAGTTTGTCTTCATTTCGGTTTCTGCTCCATTCATTGTGGCCTCCTTGCCACTATTTCTGGAATCTTGGTATTTTTCTTTTTTAAAATATCCTGCAGTGTTCTCTGTAGAGTTGAACTGGTGGTTGCAAATCCCCTAGTTCCTTTTTATCCTGGAAGCACCTTGTTTCTCCATTAATTTCTAGGTACAGTTGTGCAGGATATATCAATCTTGGCTGGAGGTTATTATCTTTCAAAGCTTGAATTATTTCCCCCCACACTCTTCATGATTTGATGGTTTGTGCCGAGAAGTCTGCTGTAATTCTGATGGGTGTTCCCTTGTAAGTGATCTGTTTCTTATCTCTGATGGCTTTTAATATTCTGTTCTTATATTGGATTTCTGGAATTTTGATTATTATATGCCTGGGTGTAGCTCTGTTTGGGTTGTAGGTGGCTGGCGTCCTGTATGTCTCATACATCTGAGTATCCTTACCTTTTGCTAAATTAGGGAAATTCTCCTGGATTATTTCTGTGAATAGCCTTTGTAGTTCATTTGTTTGTGTCCCTACTTCTTCTTTTATGTTCTTAATTCTTAAGTTATAGATCCTCTTATCATCTTCTAGCCTTTGTATTATTGCTGTTTGTTTCCTTGTTATTTTTAAGAAGTTTTTCATTTCATGCTCCCACATTACAAATCTGTCCTCTAGTTCAGATAATCTATCCTTAGTTTCTTTCAAGCTGTTATGCCAGCTTTCAATAGAGTTTTTAGTTTCCTGGTAATCTCTTTGAACCTGCCTCACGTATTCTATGTTTTCTCTATTTTCTCCATCAAACAATTTCCCCCTTTTTTTCTGTTCTTCTATTCCACCATCTGTTTTTTCTTGGGCAGTGCTTAGCATTTCTCTAACTATTCGACTTATATCTTGCTTTACTTCATTAAATACTTCACTTTTGAACTCGTCTATGAGGCTCTGGAGATATCGCTTTATGTCTATTGATGCCATGATTGATATTGCATGTTTTCTGTCCTCATTCTCCTTTGCATTTACCTTTACTGGATCAGTGTTCTCAGGATTGGGGACCGAGGACCCTTTCTTGTTGCTCCCTCTGCTCATACTTTTTGTTCCTTCCATACAAATGTATATAGGAGGCCCAGTTTCTTTCTTTGTCAGTTACAGTTTGTTTGAATATGCCGGCTAGGTGTTCCCGCCCACTGCAGTGTACTAGGGAGACACAGACCTGGGCAACCTCTGCTGGGCCCATCCCTCCACATCAACCTACTGATGGCTTCACTGCTAGGGTGCACCACCAGGCTCTGGGACCTGGTTTGAGCTAGCCTACTGGGTCTTAGTCTACGGTGTCACCTAGGCCAAGCGCTCCCCACCAATCCCACTTGAGAGGGGAATATGTGACTGAAGTCACTGCAGCGCCCTGTTCTGGTTAGTCTGCCCAGTCCCAAATGTCCTCTGTTGGAGCCTCCTAGTCTATGGAAGGGTCCCCGCTCCTCTCACTCACCACAGGTCAATGCAGAGCTCCCCACCAGTCCCGCTCTCAACTCTGTTCACCAATTCTCCACTCTCAGAGATTTCGCACATCTCTGTCCCTGCTGTGCCGATTCAGACCCACAATGTAGTTTTAATTTTGCTTCAGCTAATTGTCTCTTAATTAAATAAGGAGACAAAAATAGTCTTTTAAGTTTACCCACATATTTACCATTGCTGGTGCTCTTTATGACATCCTCTAGTTCTGAGTTTCTATTTAGGATCACTTCTTTTCAGCCTAAAGAATGTTCTTACATTTAGTAAAAATTAAAATGAAACTTTCCTTGAAAAGAAATGTGCTCAGCTTTTATGTTTTGCCCCCATTTTAATTATATTTAATAGAAATAAATTTCTACATTGTCAGGGGCATTTTCCTCTGAGTACTTTAAAAATACCGTGTCACTGTGCGCTGCTCTCCATCCTCTCTGATGAGAAGTCCACCATCAGTTGTGCTCTTCTCCCTTTTGCCTTTTCTTTTTCTCTTCCTCCTCTTCCCACTTATCCCTCCCCATCTCCTTGTGAATTTTGAAATTATTTACACTTACAGAAAATGTGAAGATGCTGAAGAAAATT